AGTCCTGTTGAATTGTTTTTCATTGAATTGTTTTGTTAAATAGGCCGTACCAATAAGTCCTATTGTGTTATATTAATCAAATTGATTTTTGGATTATTCCCTTTTTTATTATACTATAGTTTTCGCCCCTTACTTTTTTTAACGTCGATTTGCGTACAAGTCGCCACGGGAAGCCTTTAAAAACCCAAAGAAACCCTTTACTCGTAAATAATTCAGTCTAGCTCTTATCTCAGTTCCGTAAAAACCCCTCTTTGACCGATTAAAATAGTAGCACGCAACAATATATAATTAAAATATATCTATTTTAATTATCCCTAATATCTAATGACTTAATTAAATAAGATAGAAATATTTATTAATAATTATTTGAAGTACAAATATTTTTGCACCGGACTATAATTATAAAAAAGAAAGTTAAATAATCAGGTCTCTTTTGTGACAATTATGGAAAAGGGTTATTAAGTATGGATTCAGAGTAGAATATTTTGTCATGGATTATTTATATACTCTACTAGATTTCATTTTAATCTGCTACAAGTATTAGTTGTTAATTTGAAAAATAATTTATATCGGCAAAGATTGTGCATAACAATTTGAAGCTGCAAAAAAATAAAAAACACAGCTAAATAAAATAGGTTTGTTATTTTTAATCATAAATTATAGTATATAGTAATATGTTGTGCGAATTGATAGTTTTGAGCTTAAATGATTTCAAATAAAAATATGTGTGAATACCTATTTTTTTTGAATGTTTAGAATACAAAATAATTGCGTATAACGATATTGATACACAGTAAAATCAAATCAAAAATGTTACTTGTACCCAATGAATCTCGCTACATTGGAACTGCGATAAACCAGATTTCTCCTACTTCCAATTATAAATTTTTTTACAATTAACTGGATTTATAAGGAAAATCATATACAGTACAAAATTGTTTGTATACGAGATAATTACGTATATTGCACATAACGATAAAATGATAACAATATCGATATATATAAATTTAAATTCAAATGAAAAATGTTAATTGTACATGTAATCCGTGAATTCGCTACGGTAAACCAAACTTCTCCTACTTCCTATTATAAATTTCTGCACAATTGACATGTCTAAATTAACTGGATTTATATGGAAAAATCATATACAGTGCAAAATTGTTTGTAAATGTACGTATATGGAAAAATCATATACAGTGCAAAATTGTTTGTACATGTACGTATATGGGATAATTACGTGTACTGTACATGTATAACCATATAAATTTAAATCAAAAGTGTTACTTGTACATGTACTCCGTGAATCTCGCTACATCGGAACTGCGGTAAACCAAATTCTACTTCCAATTATAAATTCTGTACAATTAAACTGTCTCAATTAACTGGATTTATATGGAAAAATATATACAGTACAAAATTGTTGTACATGTACGTATACAGGATAATTACGTATACTGTACTCTGTGAATCTCGCTACGTCGGAACTGCGATGAAACAACTTTATCCTACTTCCAATTAACTGGATTTATATAGAAAATCCTTAACCAGATATTTCGATAAAAGAGATGAATTTCCTCCTTTTTTGCTACGCATTTTAACATGTTTCAATTAACTGGATTTATATGAAAAAATCATATACAGTACAAAATTGTTTGTACATGTACGTGTACGGAATAATTACGTATACTGTACTCCGTAAATCTCGATACGTCAGAACTGCGATAAAACAAATTTTCTCCTACTTCTAATTAACTGGATTTATATAGAAAAACTCTTAACCAGATATTTCGATGAATTTTCTCCTTTTTGCTACGTATTTTGAAATGTTCAATGTAAAATTATAAACATAGAAATTTCTATAATAGCCCAGCCCTTACATTATATGCTTAAGTTTGAACTTAATTTACTTGTAACTTTGATCAGATAAGTAGTTTTTAGTGTAACTCTGGCTGGGATTGTCATGTCATGTATTCTTCTTTCCGAAGTTGTGGATAAGTTTCTTTGTGAATCGATACTAGCTTCAAGAAGGTATCCGACATGATATTATCGATGGGTAAATCATGCGAGATTATATGAAAAAGATCTTAATTCAGGTGCCAGTCCATAAAATCACTCACAAATAACGATAATAAACGAAAAAACTTTTATGCGATTTATTCAGCGTATTAATCACTCGAGTATTGGATATTGTAGCAAATCAAAATATTGTGCGTTTAATGATTGTTGTTCGAATTTAATATTTGTTTGCAAATTGATTATGATCCCTCAGCCGATCTGGAGTGACTTGGATCAACTGTAGTGCTATTCGTGTTATTACAATTGATTGATTTTTTGTGACCCGCAATTAATATAGACTCGAATTGCACCCATAACTCTGTTACAAAGTCGAAATAATATGAGGAAATTACACATTGTAGTCTCATGATCAAAGCATCTAAAGAGAGTTTCGCCTTGAAGAAGCGTAGAAATACAATCCAAAAAAAAAGAACAGTTGGTCGAGATGAAGTGTCCCGTGAGCTTGCGAAACAGACGACAAACAGAACATAATTCTGATTTCCCATAGAAAATATGGAACGAGCGCTAGAAAAAGGAAGGAAAATGTATCGGCATATAGCGCAACCTTTTGATAATCAGATAACCAATATCCGGACTGAATTGCGGATTAAATTCCTATAGAAGATCATTATCGGCCATCTATCAAAGAAGAAATTGCAAGCTCAAAGCGATCCCTTTGAGACATTGCAAAAAACGCTGATTTATCGTCCGAGCTTGTTTGATTATACATATTAGAGTTGAATAAAATCTTGTTGATTGCTTCACAAAAGCAAACCACAAGGGGCATGAAAGAAACAAAGCATTTTAATTTATTGTTGACTGAAAAAGTATTTTTAGAAATGATTCGCAGTTTCTTTGATGATCTTATTTAAATTTAGCTGAAATCATGGAAATTTCACTCTCAAGCTCCGATTAAGAATAGAAATTTTCTTAGTAAATCATTATCGCATGGATTTAAAAATGGAACGATTAATGAAAATTACTTTTTTCAACAATTACATGATTTAATATTGGAAATCTCCCTAAAACGCATTCACAATACGTAATAAAATGTTTAGTTTATCGAAAGTCATTTATGGCAAGCCTATACTGTTGGCAGTGCAAGAAGATATAGTCGCACCTCAAAATAGTCAAGGAGTTGGGAAACAAAATTGGATGTGATTATAGAGCAGTTAAACTTCTTATATTTTATAATAAATTGGTAAATAAAGGTGTATTTATTCTTAAATTGTATAGAATATCCCTCTTTTCTCGCATCTATAAAAACGCGAGCAATTCAGACTGTTTCCCAACATTGAAAACAACAAGATCAAATAAAGTTCACATTTCAAATACAAAACGACCACACATTTTTTATATTCTACAAGATCCAATAGACCACATATTTCATTCAACACTGAGTAATTTAGTCAAAACGAAAATGAACAAGCAAATCTTTTTCTTTGTTGCTCTGATCTTCACTTTTGTCTTCGCTTCGTCAGTTAATGCCATCCCCAACTATTATCATCCTCCGAAGAACAATACATGCTGCGATCCTATTCGTCCTCCGAAAAATAATACATGCTGCGAACCTCCTCCTCCTCCTCCATGCTGTGATTGTAAAGTCTTCTATTGCAATTTCATACCTAGCAAGACCGATCCACAACAAAAAGTGATCGGCCACATTCAATTCCAACAGTTTCCCAATTGTACTGTGAGGGCCACTGGTGTTGTAAATATATTTGATCCTTGCGGTCCCCAATGCGAATACGATCGCGTTAGAACACACTACGATATCCATGTACTCAGTGGTTTTCCGCCTAATAAACTAATTAGTGTCGTCGATCTGGAGGATATTGTGAGCGCCAATGGCAATCTTGATTATCCGTTCCAAGGTTTTACAACTCTAGCACAGCCTTTTGATGATCTCGGCAGCCTCAAGTGTGCAGTGATGCTCGAAGATCCAAATGGTAATGAATCTAATGATAAAGTTCTTGGATCTGCCCAAATCCTCCCAGCTTAAACCTTTCTATAATTGCTCGTTCATAAAGCATGTACGATAAGAGTTTATTTAATTGTTTTAATATTTTTTTCTATTATTTTTCTGTTACTATAATTACCTACCGCTACTTTGATTCGTTCATAAAGCATGTACGATAAGAGTTTATTTAATTGTCTTATAAATTTTAATATTTTGTTTTACTGTACTGATTTTGAAGTTTTTGTGCTTATCTTGGAATTAAATATACTTATCTGAAAAAATTTTAAAGTGAATTGTCGCTGGAACATGTGTCTAGATATTAACTGCTCGTGTAATATTGAGAATATGTTCTGGCCCCAAAACTTGAGTCTCAGTGAATGTATCATATAGCTCATTCGATGGTTTCATATTAGGTTTATAAAAAATCCTTTACTTTCTCATTTCGGTTTGTTCCCAAAATTAACTAAGTATGAATTGTTACTATCGCTATTGGAAACTCGCACATCGGCTTAAGTAAAAGGTGATCATGTATTCATCTGTCTCTAATCACTAGCTTTTGACTCACACAGAAGGCTCTCAATTCTGCTGCTGGATTTGCTAATCCCCTGATAATTTGCAGTTAAAATAACAACCAAACTAAAATAGTGTTTATAAAAGACAAATTAAAGCATTAGAAAATGAAGAGTAATTTAGAGACACAAATCCAAATTTAAAACTGGCCAGCTCGTATTTGGCACATAATTGGTAAATGTATGTTACATGTTGATATTGATTATATTCAGTAAAATATAGATTAAAAATACAGTGGTAACGTACCCCCCCCCCCCCTTTAACTTTCCATATATGTACCAAAATTTTCCGAGCACAAAGAACATTACAAATGCTGTTCGTTGATACTTTTTATCGTTATAGATTGGTAGAGCTTAAATATTATATGTTCATGAACTTTCATGTCCCAAATACAATGAATCATTCACTTTAGAACATAATATCTTTACGTCTAGTGATCCAATTTGAGCAAAGTACTACCATTTGATTTGCCTAAATTAGAAAAATCGGATGGTAGTATTTTCACTCAAATTGGATCACTAGACGTAGAGATATTATGTCCTGATTCATATTGGTCGATCAATTTTCAATAGAAATTGGTCGCCAAAAAAATGAATCAATCAATTTTATGATGTATATCTTGATTTCCGTGATCCAATTTGAATAAAAATATATACCATTCGATTTGTCTAGTCAAGGTGAATCAGATCACTGGAGATCGAGATAACACGTCCTAAATTTGCTGATTAATTTTGTTGATTCCAAAAAAAATGAATCTGCTACTTTAAGACGTAATATTTCGACGACCAGTGATCCGATTTGAACAAAAATACTACCATTTGATTAACTTCGACTGGACGAATCGAATCTGATCGCAACCTAGAGAAATTCGCAACACCAGCGAAACGAAAATGGCGGCCAAACTCACTCATAACAACTAACAGCTTACGCGACCGGTTTCCAGTTTTGTTTCGTACCAAGTTTCCTGAATGTGAGTATTTGGCGTTCTTTCATTGTTGGGTGTCTAGTTTTTTCATTTCGTTGGTGCTGTCGCAAATTTCGACTAGTTCTTGCACCGGTCTGTATTGCATCGTTGAAACCCACATTTCTGGATTGGTGGAAATATTTTATCCAAAGTCGGCGCATGAAAAATCGCAAAATGACGGACGGATCGTGAGGCAACGAGATCTCGCTGATCTTCAGAATTTTGCGAACTCGGGTTCGTTTGATTCGCCTAATCAAGACGAACATTCTTTGTATCCGGACCACCAAAAATTGGTTGGATATTGGGAGAAATATAAGCATCCAAAGTTGACTTATTTTTCTGAGACCGTCAGTGTTGGTTAGGGTTAGTTAGGGTTCCCGGGTGTCCAGTTTCTCCATGTTGGTTTCGTCGCGACCGGATCTAGTGAGTTCTTTGGTGAGTATTTGATGAAATGGGGGTCTTTGGGTGGAAGTGCACTTGAAAAATCAATTTTAACAATGTCAACAACAATCAAATAAAATTTTTAATTGGTCAGTTTAACCAGAACATTGTAAAATTGCTTGATTATGGTGCATAACATCTAAAGTCATCATACGTTTGTATTTTACAAAATGTATAAACATCTTTACAAAGAAGTAAATGTAAAATTTAATCCGTGAATATGATAGAATAGGTCCTTTCTGAGCATATTCACGGATTAAATTTTGTATTTACTTCTTAGTAAAGATGTTTATACATTTTATAAAACACAAACGTTTGATAACTTTAGATGTTATGAACCATAGTACTTTTATTCAAAGAATATTAAAGCACATTGTTGCTGGTGAGCCAACGCTATATAGTATTTTATTGGCTATTCAATTTGGTCACATGGTTGCAGTCCGGATCGGATTAAAAATCACGTGTAACTACACGGTTTTAACGGACCCCCTAATTTGGATAAATGATACGACATATCATTAATAAAGAACACGCGGTTAGAAAAAAATTAGACTGACCAAGTCGAAAAATTGCGCACCCCTACAATCGGTGTTGTACATTTTGAACGTTTTGAGACGGTCCCGTCCCGTCCAAGGATGTCCCAATTTCTATTGAAAATACATAGAAATATGCAAAATGAGATTCTAAACATTTTTAATTAGTCACTAAAAATGGATTTTAATAGTAAAATTTTGTGCTTTTTGTATTTTTTTGTGCCCTAAAATTGTCCTAACTTTGTTCAAGATGTCCTGTGTACAACACTGCCTTCAATTACCGGAAATTGGGCATGTCTAAAGCCTGCTCCATCCGATAATTAATTCGAAACACAAACCAATAGGAATGTGTAAATTTTTGTTCAGCCCAGCAAAACAAATCCAAAGCGCAAACAAAAATATGAAAATAACGGAAAACAAATGCTTAAATCTATCTTGGTGTTCAAATAAAAATATCAGGGAGGCAATTTTATATATAACCTTAATTTCAACTCTAGCCCTGACCCTAACCCTATGCTAAAATCAATCTTTAATTAAAATATAATTAAGTTATATAACTGAAATTATATATTTTTATTAATATAATTTATTATTTTTAGTTCTTTTATTTTTTAAATTAAATTAAATTTTTATATTATTTAATAAATTCAAATTAAATTTTAGTTTTTAAATTAAATTAAATTAAATTTTTATATTATTTAATAAATTCAAATTAAATTTTAGTTTTATTAAAACTTACGTATAAGATGTACTTATCTATTTTCATGCATTTTTTTAGCATATATAAAAATTTTTATATACATAATATTTTTTGCTAAAATTTTATATTTTATATTTTATATTTTAAATATTAAATTATAACAAATAATATACTTATAATAGCAATCAGAAATAATGCAATGATATCAAATTTTATTGATTAAATATAGTAAAATATGAATTTTTCTCTTTATATAAAAGTTTTCAATTTTACAAAATAAATTTTTATTTTTATATTAAAATAAAAATAATATTATATATATATATTTCAGATTTTTTAGATTTAATTTGATAAAGCTGTTCTAATTGCATATAAAATCAATTATTTTTTCATATATTTTAATTATAAAAAAATAACTGCTTTATATACAATTAGAATAGCTTTATCAAATTAAATTTAAAATATCTAAAAAAATATGTTAAAATATGAAAAATAAAAAAATATTTATTAATAAAATTAAAAACTTTTATATAAAGAGAAAAATTTGTATTTCATTATATTTAATTAATAAATTTTAACAATATTGCTTTATTTTTGATTGTTACTATAATTTTGTAAATTATTTATTTATTATATATTGAAAAAAATATACAATAATAAATTAACTCTATTACTATAACTCTAATATATTTTATTTTCATGTATTTTATTATATACTTAATTAAATTTATATTTTTTTTCATTATATATTTTTTGAATTTGTTTTTTGTTTTTTAATTTATTATATAATTAATACTACCAATTTGTATTGAAATATTTGCAAGAAAATAAGCTTTTATATTTTATTTATATTATAATATATTATTAAAAAAATGTAAATTTTTATTTTAAATATATTTAATTAATAGTTTAAACAAGTTTTTTATAATAAAATCCTGAGATACTTAATATATAAAAATAGATATAATTGCAAAAAATAGACTTTAATTTTATAAATTATTATTAAAAAATATAAATATATCTAAAATTTTATTCCAAATATATTTATTTAATAATTAAAAATAGATTTTTTAATAAAATTTTGAGATATTGTATGCATAGAAATAAAAAGATATTTAAGAAAAACTAATTCTAATATAAAGAAATCTAATACTAATTTAATTCTATTTAAAATATATGTTATATATAATATTAATTAATTAATTTAAATTATATATAATATATATTGTGACAGATTAAAATGAAACAGGATTAAAATGAAACGGTGACCTTTTTTTATTGTCACGTGAAATGTGTGATCTTGAAATTTTATTGGTCAAAATTAATGGTTTTTTACATGTTATAATTTACATAATGTTAATGCTAATGCTACGAAATATTAATTATGTGATTTGCATTATTAATAGTTGATTGGTGGATTGGTGACGAGCGAATGGGAACTAAACACGTAATGTCAATTTGGTATCATAAATGGCAATTTTCTCATCAAGGTTTTTTGCATTTTGCTAAAGCTTTTCGGCGTGTTGGAGTAGGTTAGGACTCTGGCTCTTGCCATCTGGTAGTTTCGAGATTCTTGCTCCGGTCAGCCAGATTCTTGTTGCCAACCGAGATTAAGTTCACTGGTATGTTTGTAGGCAAGAACTGACGCCAAAGATGAAACCTGAGTCATATAAAAGTTAGAACATTTTGTAGACGGAAGCCAATGTCGACGTTATGAGCAAAGCCAATGTTGGTATGTAAAAGTCTGGACGAAATCTTTAGTGTACGAGATGTGTGGAGTGTGTGGTGTATATGATGTATGCGAAAGGAAATATTTTTTTGGACAAGCAAAAAA